ATGACTAGATGCACGAGCGCTGTTGTTTGCGACACTCATTCCTATGACTCAGCGTCTCTAACCACCGGTTACCCTGATCTCACGGTCCCCATCCAAGGAGCCTAAAGGCGTATATGTGACCTAGGGTCATGTTAGGATTTTCATACCCTCATGCCAGCTCTTCGTTTGATCGCCTTTGATCTTTTTGCATTTGCTACCTGTCTCGACAAACATCGTGCGTCGTGGCAACCTGTTTGGTAACATGCGCAACGCATATCCCAACCAGCCTAATCTATGGAAGTCGATCACTTGCTCCAGTTGACGACTGCGATTATGTAACACTCTACAGTCATCCTTAGCATTGCTCGCACAGTTTCATCATCAGACTCGTGCAATGCAACGCAGGCAGCGGTGTGATCGATTTGAGTCCATCACTTTGAAGAAGCAAGAAGTTTTCATGTGGGGCGGTGTCGATTTTTGTGCGAGAATTGGGTGCTCGATAGGAGCAATCCGTGGTACGCGCAGAGTTGAACTGGGTGACCTCGGTTGTCCGTTCGGTTGGCTAGGATTGCGTGCAGACAGCCTGGGCACCTTTCTGATTTGTCCGAGGATCCCAGTTGAGCTTTGAATTCTCCTGTGTTTATTATGATGTACGTGGACCGAGCCTTCAGGAGCCGTTGAGAAAGATCCTTGTAGAATTCATCCTTGATTTCAGGTGCACTGCAGTCGGTTAAACTCAACATCTTACGGCACAGCACACGCAAAACTTCTTAGCACAAACACCAGTTTGGAACGAACCGATTAGATCATTTAAGGCTCGCAATGGTTCAGATTTGTGTTATTACAGTGAAACGTTGGTCGCGGAAACCTTTACAAACAGTAGGGAAAGATGAAGAGCAGTAGGTGATAAGGGCTTTCAGCTGTGCTCTAAACAATAATGTTTCAGGTTTACACTCAACTGCGAACGTCCGTCAGAGGTGTGGCATGACGAACACTCAACGAAGTGAGAAACATTAATAATTAAAACTGCAATCTGGTTGTAATCCAACTGACTATAGTTGTGACATAGTTGAAAACTCATTATCATCAAATAGCGAAAAATTAGTGAAGCAAACGTCATCAGTCGCTGCCAAACTCGCAATAGATACAAAGTTAGTGAGAATATACCGGATGGAAAAGGATTGGGCCGATATCACCAGCTCAATGTGATTGGTAACGTGTTGAATAAATCTTCATTCAGCTGCTATATAATAGAATAGTCCTCTTCAAACATTAGATGACAGAGTACTAAGAAGCATAACATTTGTCATGAAGGGTCAAAACTAATGCAATTTGCATCTGTGAAACAATGACACCATAAACTGAGAAAAACGTAAACACTACCGGAAATGGAAGACTAAGTGAATATTCTGAGAGGAAATAATTCCGAGCGGTATGAACTCGTTGGCAAACAGTGGACTATTGGGGTATGAATTTGTGTTGAAGAAACAGTCGTCGAAAAACTGGTCCCAAGAAAGCGGCATAAGTAAACTCCACCTACTGAGCTAAATGCAAATCAACTTTTAAAGACCATCTTGGCTGATGCGCGGTGGACACTGGTGGGACACTAACTGGAAACACAAAGTATGTAACGTTCACCTGAAATTTTTTTTTAGGTTTTACGGTAGATGGCTCATGGGAGAGGATAGACCGGTTTCATAAATATCAAGTGAATCTCCATGAAATTTCTTGGGAGTTAGGTACAAGAAACGTCCCCAGCGTCACCCGGTTTGGGGTCCAGGTGACATCTATAGTCTTTGCACATCCAAGTGCTAACTGCAGGGCCGCAGGATGGTAGCCCTTGGTTGCCAGAGGCCCTCTGGGAGGGAGCTCATCAGCCACTGACAGGTTCTAGCTGAACAAGAGTCAATGCACCCCTGATGAGCAGGGAGCCATTGCCTTGACCGTTGAGTCTTGAAAGCGACTTCGTCCACCCAACACGTAGACACGTAGGAAACCGAATCGCCGAGAGTTGATCTCCCGTTACCAACAACCTGTCTAGGTACCCTGTGACCGTTGTTCCATCCAAACAGCGTTTCAGTTCAGTTCAGTTTTACAACCATTAACCATGCACTTTCGTGCGCGGATTTTTGTTTCTGTCTTTTGGTTGCCCATTTGGATAAAATAGCAAAATGAAGATGGGAATG